AGTACGAAATGCTAGTCTGAACCCAGAAAAAAAATGTAGTCTGAACCTGAACCTATAAAATAGTTTACAAGATTGCATATAAATTCCTGAAGTCTGACATATTTTTTGTGTTTAAAACCTTCATTTTTGTAACCTGCAATGCCGGTTTTTGCAGAGAAGGAAGAAAGGAATACTCCTAAAGCTTTGTAGAAGCAAACTATGAAACAAAATAGTTACGGATTTCTAAAGATAAGAACTTGGCATAAAAGAAAAGTATTGCCTTGCAGAACTATCAGAATCAGTACCTGAGCAAGACATCATCACGAGTCCAACTTAGGACAGCATGACATGAGCCTGCGTACAAATAAAATAAAATAAAATCATCACTTCAATTGCAGAACAAGGTCTTTCTATGACATGCAATTCATGATCTTACACTTGATAACTGTGGCATATTCGAATAAATATAGCATTTTATTTCATTTGACAGTTAGATTACTATTGAACCATAAGATTCATCATCTTTGCATATAAAACAAAATGTCGCTGTGTAATAATATAGTCAAATACATAATCGTCGGTAATTTTGTTTTTGGCTCATTTTTATAGTGATGACTTTTTAACAGAAAAGGTAACAGTCATAAAGTTAACAAAATGTATCCAGACCACAGTATGCATACATGTCAAAAAGATCAAAACCCATCTCTAGTAATTCTTCAATTAAGTCTGCTAAGAAGTCACCGAGACACTTGAAGAGTAGGATCTCAAGTCCAGAATCGCATGGATAATAACAGTACCCGTTAATCTGAAAAAATGGTAGATCATTGAGTTCAGTACAAGATTAATGTTAAAAGCTTGGCAACAAATGCTCTGCAGTTGTGAGAAAGCGTTACCACTTACCCAAGCGTTTCCATAAGAATGCGAGAAATAATTGCGTGAAACAAAGAAAGCACTCAGCTTGTCTCCGGCGTAACTGCCCTTGGCATAGGTAATTTGAGTCACCCAGTTGGCTTGAACATTAATTTGCCACTCACTGTTTATATTACACCTTTCAATTGCACGAAAGAAAGCGAGTCTTCCTGCCCAGCCCAACGAGTCAAGTATGATTTTTAACTGAAAAATGATATTGATCCTGCACATGTATGGAAGGCCACCAAAATGCGTAAGCAACGCCAACTTACAGCTTGGCTCTAATTGGCCAGCAACCAGCCTGAATCCCCTCAGTTTTCTAACCAAATTTTGCATATAAGCGGGGTACTTCCCGTGAAGCCTGAAATACACCTCAATGTGCTCTGCAAGATTGTCAAGGTTGGCTTCAAAACAGCTCCGAATATGCATATAATGGCGATCATGGTCAGCCTCCAGAGGAACCAGGACATCAGAAATTGGTACAGGTGCGCGCAGTGCATATACTCTTCCATTCTCATCAACCGAGAAGTCATGGAATGTCAACATTTCTGTCCAATAGAAACCAGCATCCAAACTGTCAGTTACTAACTTAATCAGATTTCTGAAAATGGTGGAACCCATTGGAGTCAGTTCTGGCTCAGTGTTGGCACTATCCGGCATCTGTATCATTCTTAAGATTCCATCTTCAAAAGGAAATTGGGCCAGTACCAACGTCTGTTGATCCGGTATTCCTCCCAAAACCCTTGTGCGAATACGAACCGTTGAGCCCTTTCCAATGCCCGTCTCATTCAATTTGGTTTTTGAGTCTAAAATCATGCCACCATACTCCAAGTAGTGTTCTGTTTTATTGAACACAGTACTCATTTCAACTGCCTCCGCAAATTCTCGAGAAGATTTACTTAATTCAAACTGCATTGACATAGTCACACCAAGAACGGTCTCAACAAATAACTGTGTTTGTTCCATCTGAGCGTTACTTCCTTCTGTACTGCGACCATCTTTCTGCTCATTTTGGCTTCCCTCCATTTGTTGGGCAATATGATCATCCAGCATTGCCTGCTTCGCACAACCCTGATTTTGAGTGCTGGTATCCGGACTATCCTGGGCACTGAGCAGGTCAGTCTGTTTATCAGCTGGAAGCCCAGCTTCTTGTACACCTTGATCAGTTTCAGCTTTTTCACTGGCTGTGCTGCAAGAGGCAGAGTCCTTTTCACCACAGCTCGTCCCTGAAGTGATTTCTTCAGTAGTTATGCTTTCAGAGAGTATAACTTGATGATGTACATCTGAACGATATGGTTGCCTACTTGGAGATTCTACGGACAAGCTATTACAGTCACTAGATTGCTCACTTAGGCATGTTTTTCTGTCCGACAGCTCAGTCTGATCTCCATCAACAATTGTATTTATATTGGTGCTTGCCATGATCTGTTCAGCAACCTTGGAACAGTTCTCGCAGCTTTCCTTCACTCGACGCGCAAACAGTTCCAGGAAGTCCTCAATCAACCCAAGAGAGTTCATATGTTCGGCCTCATCATGAACAATATCACTGCTCTGAGCTTCCTCCTTGCCTTTGGTAGTAACTTTTACTGGGTAAGTCGTCTCCTTATCTTCTGGATTGCGAGAATCTGTTGTTGCTTCCTCCATTCCTTCAGTGTCATCAAATAAGTCAGGAATGAAATCCAAAATTTCTATTGGCACCTCAATGATCTCTTGTGGGACATCATTCTTCTGAGTCTGCATATGACCGTGTACAACATCCTTCACTTCGCTAGAATCTGCAGATTCAAACATACAGAGCTTAGCATTATCTACATTAGCAAGACCATGCAACCATAAGCCCTCACTCATCCTTTGCATAGAATCTTTATCGTGCACACTTTAAGCTGTTTATCTTTTTCGACAATATCCAAACACGCTTAAGTTAACCAACCATTTGGAGTAACACCAACTGTATGATGGTAAGGACTCAAGACCCTGGGCTTCCAATGGCAGTTTGAACTACTACACTACATGAACACCTTTGCCATGTTAAGACTACGGAAATATCCTGTCGGATTTTATGTAGCCACCCAAAAGGTTTTTCTGCTATTTCTTCATCCATGTGTAAAACGTCCATAACAATTATCATCATAACAATTGTGCACACTTTAAGCTGTTTATTTTTTTCAACAGTATCCAAACACCTTAAGTTGACCAACCATTTGGAGTAACACCAACTGTATGATGATAAGGACTCAAGACCCTGGTCTTCCCATGTCAGTTTGAACTACTACGCTACGGTGAACACCTTTGCCATGTTAACACTGCTGAAACATACTGTCGGATTTTATGTAGCCACCCAAAAGGTTATCCTGCTATTTCTTCTATCCATGTGTAAAACGTCCATAATAATTACCATCATAACAATTGTGCACACTTTAAGCTGTTTATTTTTTTTAACAGTATCCAAACACGCTTAGTTGACCAACCATTTGGAGTCACCTACTGTATGATGGTAAGGACTCA